GTTTAAGCCTGACTATCTGAAAGAATGGTAGAAGGAAAAATTAGGTTTGCAAGATGAAGAGAAAATTGAGAAGAGGTGGAAACAATGAGCATTAAGCAACATAGTAAGAATGAAATACCCAAGAGTTAAGAGGAAAAGCAAACTGTTGATAAAAAGAGTAGCCAATTTCTATTGTCATGGAATTTAAAATCTATAATCTGGTTATAGAGATTTGGATTTGGCAATGACACTACCAGAAATTCCCAAAAAGCTATGGGGACAGATAAACTCTTCAAGAAAGAACAGAGAAAACCAAAGAAACCTCATCAATTTAAGAACAAAATTTCTAAACATTCCAAATACTAAAATTCATTTGAAAAGTTAACATCAAAAGTTCTAAAAACGTTTCAACAAAATACTGGATTTTAAAAAGAACATACCTTGATACATTTAAATATATTTCTCCAAAAAGATAGTGTCTCAATCATACATGATATTGTATTAAAACACAAACTTTAACTTGCCCTTCGTATTTAAACTACTTCTCTTTAGGGCCTCCCCAGTGGCACAGCGGTTGAGTGCTCAGCTGCAAAGCTGCCTGCAGCCTCTGCAGCGCTGGTTCAATCCCCGGCCGCAGGGGAGGATCCCATATGGCATGACAGACTTCTCCCACCGCACCCACTGCTCCCTATTTCTTCAGTCTCCCTGTTCTGTTCCCCACTCTGGCTCTGGTGAATTCTCTCACCCTCCCACGCTTTTGACTGTACCCAGTGCCTGTATAAATAAATAAAATAAAATCTTAAAAAAAAAAAAATACTAGGGGCCTCCCTGGTGGCACAAGGGGTTAAGCACTGCACTATGAAGCAATCCATAGCCACTGCAGCATGAGTTTGATCCCCGGCCCGCCAGGGAGCAGCCCACATGGCACAGCAGACCTCTCCTGACTCGCCCGCCGCTCCCCTCAGCAGTGTATTTCAGTTAATCTGCCTGTTCTGTTTCCCACTCTGTCTCTGGTGAATCCTCTCACCCCCGCATCTCTGGCCTGTACCCCAGCTCTCTTGTATGCATAAATAAATAAATCTTAAAAAAAAAAAATACTACTTCTCTTTATAGAGGGATTCCAGTTAACCAATTAAGTTGGAATGTAGGATCAAAGGTACAATTAGTTTATTGCCATTTGTCACTCACCCATGCAATAAGGGAATGAGACTGTTAACATAGCAAGATGAAGGGCAACCAACTATCATATATGCTTCCTGGTGGAAAAACACAGAAACACACATGAATTATATGTGCTCTCTCCTACTTGCAGAAATCAACTCTGAACTGATCTAAGCTTGCTCAAAGTTTTCAATCTAGAGCTACCAATTTACAGGAAATACAGAGGATAGAGGGACCCCAATGGGACACATTTAAGAAAATTCAGAGTGAGGGAAACTGCAAGAAAAGTAATCCAGTTCCTTCAAGCCAAATTATCAGAAAAATAAGGGGAACCTGTAAGATTAAAGATGGACCAAATCAAAGAAACCAATTATTTTAAAACAATTTAAGAAATTTGAATGCTGTTTGGTTTTTAAGGGATGTTAATTTTTAAAGATGGGATAATGATAGTGTGGTTATATTTTTAAAAGTCCTGTCTTTCAGAGATACACTGAAAATATTTACAGATGGTGTCATTATATATCTAAGATGTCCTTCACAACTCTCCAGTAGGCATTTTGAGGATATAGATGAAACAGTAGCAGTAACTCAATTGTTAGTGCTTAAAATCTTCCATAATAAATTATTTAAAAGGGAAAAAAATAAGAAAAACCATCAGTTAACAACAACAAAAATGTAAGAAATGGGTTTAAGTTTAGTTTCTAAGCCTTACAAGTTGAGCAGCCCTGGGTTAGATATGCAACCTCTTAATGTCCCCACTGGTTAAATGAAGACAAATACCACCTAATAAACTCATAAACTCACACATTTGCTAAAGTCATAAACCCGGGAGATATCTTTAACTCCCCTGGCTCTCCCAGTCTCGCATATATGGGTCTACCACTGTATCCCCTTCCAATCTTCTGCGCCCTCCGCCCCCCATCTTGTCTATCACTTGGTCTCATAACACTCCTATAACCTTCCTCCAATCAGTTCTTTACATTGTATGCAGAGTTATGTTCCTAAAATGCAAAATCTGATCAGGCTATCCCCAGTCCTACCTAAAACCCTTGAACTTAGTTGGCTTCAAGACAATAGTGCCTTAATTTTTGAAACCTAGTCTGGGGCCTCCCTGGTGGCTCAGGGGTTAAAGACACAGTGCTATCAAGCTATTGCCAGCTACTGCAGCACAAGTTCGATCCCAGCCCCACCTGGCCAGGGAACAAACCCACATGGCACAGCAGACCTCTCCTATCTTGTCCCTGCTCCCTCAGCAGTGTATTTCAGCAGATCCGCCTGTTCTATTCCCCACTCTCTCCGATGAATCCTCTCACCAACGCCCCCCCCCTACACCCCAGTTCTTATATGCATAAATAAATCTTAAAAAAAAAAAAATCTAGTCCCTTCCCCAATTCCTTAAAAAGACAATATATATTGTTTACCTCCCCACTTCCATCTTTTCCCATTCTCTTTGGCCCCTCTTTATGCTTTAGTTTTGGTGAAATTCTTTCAGTTTTCCTAGTGAACCATGTGATCTGTGGCTATAGCTTCAACACTTGTTGGGAACGCTCTTTCTACTATCACTCCTTGGCTTCATTAACTTCTAATCATCCTTCAATTTTCAAATTAAATGGCACTTCCTGAAAGAGGCCTACCCAGATTGCTTTGAGACTAAGTTGGGTGTCTTCTCACACTTCTACAGTATTTGTTACCCTAGGAACCTGTACTTCCTCTATCATCACACTCAATGCTTATTTGTAAAGAGCACTTTCACGATAATTATGCATTTATATGTTTTCTATTTAGACCATAAACTCCGGGAGGGACAGGGCTAGAAATTCTTCACTGCAAAATCCTAAGTCTCTATTAGTGCCAGGTTGCCAATAACAAATTGCTGAATACATAAAAATTCACCAACTTTCTAGACTGTATTTCTTATACCCAAGTCCCATTTTCCTAGTCCTCACGTGTAACACCTCACTTGGTTATGTGGGTATTTACAGGAGCCTAAATCCTACATAGGGATATATATTATAAAGTGGAATTATGACAGAATGGGAATGAAAGACATAAGAAGATGGAGAAGGCCATCATTCAAAACACGTATTTTCAATCTGAGATCATTTATATCCATATTTACAATTTCATTTATATTTAAATTTTAAAGAGTGCCAATCTAATTAAATGGGAGTCAAGACACACATAATTCTCACTCGACCATTAACGAATGTCAAGACCTAAGATAATATGTCACGTAACTTCCCAGTCTCAGTTTCCTAATGTTTAAAATAAGGGCCTCTCACTAGCTGGTCATTAAAATCTCTTCCAGAGTTATTATATTCACCCATATTTAAAAGGCCAAAAGATATACAAACTATTGAAACACTAAGCAGTTGGTTTCATCCTGTGATGGCATGGTCCTTTTTTCCTCTTTCATCGCTCAGGTATGTTATAGCTTATTAAGCTTACAACTAAACTTTTACACCTATTCAGCTATAAAAGTCTCACAAAATGCTCCCCAGACTATTAACTTGCATACTTAACAAGGGTCACTACAATCCTGGGTAAGAACAGCATCTATCTAAACCCTGAATTACTGAAGTATGTTCAACTTTTTAAATACTGTCTTAAGGCCTAGATTGTCTTGAATTCTTGATCATTTCTATGACAATTCAAAGGCAAAGTTGTAGCTCAGGGTACAGAACTTGGATTTATGGGTACTAATAAATGTCTAAATAAAAAGCTGAAGACTGGGGCCTCCCCGGTGGCGCAGCAGTTGAGCGCTGGGCTGCGAAGCTGCCAGCAGCCTCTGCAGTGCCGGTTCGATCCCCGGCTGCTCCCCGGCCACCGGGCGAGGGTCCCACATGGCGCGCAGACCTCTCCTGCCGCCCGCTGCTCCCCTCAGCAGTGTACTTCGTCACTCAGCCTGTTCTGCTCCCGCTCCCGCTCTGGCTCTGACATATTCTCTCACCCTCCTGCGCTTCTGACTGTACCTAGTGCTTGTATAAATAAATAAATCTAAAAAAAAAAAAAAAAAAAAAAAAGCTGAAGACTGTTTGCTTTGCCTCACCCGAGGGATAGCTGACATCAAAACTGTTTATTAATGACTAATTCCTCCTCAGTCTTCCAAACCCTCAGATTCACCCTACCACGACATTCCAGAAGTTACTAACCCCACATTTGTTTAATCAGGCCACTGACAAGAACACATTTCAAAACCAGAATAATTTTGGGGGGGAAAAAAAAAAATTCAAGACCAGTTACCGGTTAATATATTACTGTTATCAGCGGACACCCAGTTTACAAGCAGACATGTGGCTAAAGGCGGAACGCGTTTTATTCTTGGTCAAGAAGCACCGCCAGTCGCTAAACTGCGTGTCGGTCGCACCAAGTAAGTTATGGCACAGAAACGAAATGTTCAAAATGTTACGTGGGAAAACAAGGATGTACTTGGAACAAAAAGCGTGCATCTGCCCCAGGGTAATACACGCTCTCCTGCGGGCTCCTCCGGACAAGGCCGCCTCGCCTCAAAGTCCAGGAGCCCGAGGGCGCCGCGGACGTTCCGCAACCACCACAGGTTGAACGACAAAGGGCCCCCGTCAGCACCGGGCCGGGCGCTGCCAACTGCACCGGCCCCTGGGCCAAGTCCACTCGAACCCTGCAGTCACGCCTCGACTGCGGGGACTGCAGTTCTCCAAGACACCGCTGCAAGCCACCAGGTGGGCCCAGGATTGGCTGGCCCGGAGGGCTGAGGCGGGCATGCCACGAGTCCAAAATAACTCCCGCCCAGATTCCCTTCCCTCCTCTCCCCTTGCCTCGGCGGAGCAGGGCGCCAGGAGAGTCAGCAGGCACCACGTGAACCAGCCCCCGGCGTCCCTTACCCTGATCAAAAGCATCTCTTGAGACGCCTACTCGACTCGAGGAGGGAAGCGACTTCCCCAAGGTCACTGGCTGCGCGGCCGGCTCCCCGGCGGCGGCGGCCCGCGTGGACGGGCGCCGCTGGCCCGCGCGGACGGCCGCGGGGGGCGGCTCGGCGGGGAGAGGCGCTGTCCGCGGCGGCGCCTCAGGGTCTCCGTCCCCCGCGCTGCGCCGCCGGGCCCCGCGGCTGAGGGCGCCGGCGCCGCGGCCGGGCCGCCCCCTCTCCGGGGGGCTCCGGTCTGGGGTCCCCCGAGTCTCCCTCCCAGCCTCCCAGCGGCGAGCGAACCCCGGGTCCACGCAGAGCGCCGCCGCGGCCGTTACCCGACTAACCGTTATGCGCGGCTCGCGGACGCGGCGCGAGCGTGAGGCGGCGGCGCGGCCGGGGCTCGGCGGCGTCCGGGGTCTCGGTCGCGTCCCGTCCCGTCCCGTCCCGTCCCGTCCCTGTGACGCTGCGCTCGCTCGGCACCCACGCGCCCGACGAGTCACGTCGCAGCTCGCCGGCACTTTGTCGCGCCGGCCCGCGAGGCCGCCTTATAACCGGCGACCCGGAGCATGCGCACAGGGGGCGGAGTCGGCCCTCCCGGCCGCCGCCCCCGCCCCTCAGGAAAAAATACCCGAACCGCGACTCGCGCCTCCACACGCTCGGGCGCGCGCGCCCGCCCGCCCGCTCGTTCCCGCGCGCCGGCGCCCCCTCCCCGCCACGTGACCGGCGGCCTGGCGACCCGCGCTCGGCCCTCGCGCGCTCCGCGCCGCCCGCCGCCTCCGCGGGGCTCGCCTCTCGGCCCCGCCGGCCCGGGCGCCCGGGGTGACCTCCACGCGCCCGGGACACCGGCGCCGCGCGCACCCCTCAGAGTGCGGCACGGAGAAGGGGAGAGCCGCCCAGGGCGCGCGGGGCGGCCCCCCACACCCGCCCGGGCCTGGCTCAGGTGGCGGGGCGGGGGGCGCGCGAGGAGGCGGGCCGCGGCCGGGGCTGGAGGGAGCCGGCGGGGTTTGAATGGATGCGGGCGCGCCCCGGGCCCGGGCCGAGGCCGAGGCGCTGGCCTCTGCGGGCGCGCGTGGCTGTGGCCGCGGCCCTGAGTTGAGCGGCCCCGGGCACCCCCGCCAGCCCTCGGGGCCTGTTTCCTGTTCTGCGAGATGACAGCAGTGATGGAACCGACCTCCTGGGCTCTTCGGGTGGGTTTCACGAGGTTATGGAAATTTCGTGCGGCAGAGCCTGGCCCCGGGCTTTTTGGGCGTGGTGGGGATTAAGCGCAGAACTCCGGGGAGAAGAGCGAGGCAGAGGGTGGTCCCCAGAGTCTGGTGCCCGGAGGGAAGATGTGCACGCGGCTCGTGCTTCTGGACAAGGAGTGTTTGGGACAAAATCAATTGTTAGCTCACTGTTTGGAAGGGCTGGTCTGATAGTAGATCCCCTGAAGGCGCTTGCAACCCTCCGAGGTAGGTGCTGCAATGGACATTTTACATAGTAGGAGCCTGAAACCCACACCCTTAACTTCGGGGAGGTCGCAGAGTGGCCAGCATTTGAAGGCAGGCTCCAGAGCTTTGTTTTGTCTTAGAGCTGTTGTAGGTTCTTGGGCAAGTCCATATACGATGCATCTGTCAAAGTGTTCAAATTAAATAAAGTAGGGAATATCTCTGAGGTCCAGGACTTTGGAGAAATATCAAAAATGTGTGAGTCTAGGCTACTGCCTCTAAAGAGCTTTCAAGGTAGGCAGAAGTCAACTTCAGAGCGCCTACTCTGCCCGGCCCTAACTTTCCCTCTCCCCCTCTACACACTTAGCACCACTGCCTTGTTAGTTTGGCCTTAAATATTTGTCTTTCGGATGAAAAACCTTAGATTGTGGTGGTGTGGGGCTTGATGGGTAGGGTTCTGAGGACTCCCCTGTGCTTCCCCCCCCCCCCACTCTGCCTCTGCTCATGCAGCAAAAAGTTTTCAGTAACATTTCAAGACATTAAAAAATGGTATGAAATTTATGGCCAATGCTGCTTATGAGCAGTCACCGTTTTCTGTATTTGATAAATTCAGAGAAGATCGGCACTTAAAGTCGCTGCAGTAGCCAGGACTTAGAACGGCAGTGCTTTATAATTGTCAGGTTGTAGTATTCAGGGTGGATGGTAGGAGAGTTAAGGCTAGGGAGACAAAATTGGACTGGTTCAGATATGAACCTAGCAGGACCTGAATAATGGTATGTAGTGGGGAATGGTGGCATAGGATGAGTCCCAGGAAACCTCAAAATTAGGCTTATAGAGGAGCTGAGGGTTTACATGATGGATCCAGGAGCCAGATCTCCAGAATTACAACTTTGATGACTTGGCACTTACTAGCTCTGTGTCCTTAGTCATGTCACTGTACCTCTGTGAGCCTAATTCTATGTAAAACAAGTATAATACCTACCTCCTGGGGTTATAATAATAAAATAAGTATTTGCTTCAGTGTCTGGCATATAGCACATACTAAATAAATGTATAATCATGGGATAACATAAAACATAATCCTAAAGATTAGCCTTAAAGGCCTCTAACTTGAATAAAATCTACTACAACAGTGTTATAACATTCCTTTCCTTGAAGATATCCACCCAAGTTGTATACACCTTAGGCTTCACAAAATTCAGATTTATGGATTTGCCCCAGTAGGATCTGTAGTGTTGTGAAAATATAGACCTCAGAATCAAAAGACTTATTCTTATAACTTACTATCCATATTAGGGTGGGCATTTAATTCACTTGACTATCCTGGACCTCAGTTTATGACCTGGATAAATTGAAGCTGTTGTGATCATCAAATAAGCTAGTATTTGCACAGCACTCAGCAAGTACTTGTGAATGAACATTATTAATATTGGTCATTAAGTGCAAGAGAGGGAAAGATCAAAAGCAGCTCAGTTCTTAGCCAAAAAAGCAGAAACAGGGCGGGTGAGCTAGCAAAAGCGATGAAATGATACAGGTAAAATTCTTGCTTTTCTGCCAAGTGTCCTTCCTGATTATGACACATCAAAGAAATAAGCTAGTAAGTAAGTACAGGAGGAGGTTGAAGATTTGCCTGTACAACCCCCCACATTTTACAAAAATGGAAATTGAGGCCCAGAGAAGCTAAAAAGTTTTCTAAGGCAACCCATCTAATAAATAGTATCAGTATAACCAGCTCTCCAGCCTGGAGGTTCTTCTTACTGTACCAAGTGCAATCTTTAAGAAAAAAAGCATTTCATCATGGTGTCTTTCAAAGTCATTACATCAAAACCAAAAAAGGCATTTTGTTCTCTAGCGGCTTTTGACTTCACAAATCTCCCTAGATTCACTTTTCGGTTTTAAAGGTTAATAAACTGGATGATGTCTGAATAATGCTATTTACAAGCTTGTTAAATGACCAATACTTTGGAAGATTTCAAGGTAACAGTTATAACTTCAGAAATTAGTAATGCCATGAGAAATGCAGATGCAAAATCTGAAAATTTAGAGCACTTATTCAAGTTGAATAAGTTACTCAATTGCTTTATGTGGAGGAGAATAATAAAATCTCTGTAATTAAATTACAGAGGAGAATAATAAAATATCTGTAATTAAAATACTTCACTTACATTACCTCATTTAGTCCATTTCAGTGATGTAGGAAATAGGAAGGTGCTATTTTCTCCACTAACACCAAACAAAGCAGGAACGGATTCTTTTAAAATAGTAATACTTCATTGATTAAGAACACTCCCCAATTTATAATTTATAGGAATAGGGAATATGAAAATGAAATTTGTTTTGTGCCATATATGAAAAAAAATTGCTAAGCAAATAAATGTAAAGGAGATAATGCTAATCCTGAAAACATTCTTTAGAGACCTCTCTCACCCACATCTTCTTCCTCTAGTTTCATGTTAGATGTCGAGTGTAGTCCTGCTGCTTTCCACGGACTCAGTCTGGAGCTAAGATGAACTCCACCCTTAAGGGAAGAGTAACTCCGACTTGGTGAGAGGTACTTCATGCCCCTTCCTGGCCTCTGCCCATTTCTCCTTGACTTCTCTTGCTCTGTTTTGACCCTTCACTTAATCTCACCAGCCTGTTGGCATCCTAATCAGTTGACTTTTCTGGCTCTCTGCTGACTAGAGATGATTCGTTCAAAACAGCTTAGCAGAAAAAAAATTGGTTGCGATAAAATTTTTTTCAATGTGACTAGTCAGTCAAAAATGAATATTTTCAACCACTGACTTGTGGGATGTTTGGTAATTTTGGTGACCAACAATTTCCTTTACTGCTCGTTTGGGTCTTTGAGAGGTGTTTTTGGTGCACAAATATGTTTTTCAAGGAAGGATCATATTATATATACTACACATTACTTTTTTGATATTTGTAATGGCTTGATAGTAAGGGACATTCACATTATTTTCAGATAGCTGTCAAAAATTTATTAAAACAGACATTTTGGGGGAAAACTAAAAAATTATGATGAACTAATAGTAATGCTTAAAGACTTTAAAGTTTTAAAAGACTTAAAGAATTTAAAGGTTGCAAAACAATCCATATAGGTAGTGCAACAAGCGTATTCCTTTTGGGCCTGTTTATCCTCTAATTCAATTTGTTTTCAACCAAATTGCCTGAGGCTTATCTCTGGCAGTCTAGTTTCCATGCCCTCACTCCTTTCCGTGGTATGATATGACTTGCCTCCTGCTCTTTGTCTCTGCCAGCACAGGGACACTTGGGCCCTATGAACTTTGTGGCCTAAAATTACTGTGTTTAGGATTTTTTCCTTGTAGGCATGGTCCTGCATAGTTGCAAGACTTGTCTACCTCCCTGCCTCTGATGAATTCTGAGCTTTTCCCCTTTTTCTGTTTTTCTCCCTCCTACTTTCCCTTCTTCCTTCCAATCTTTCCTAAGGTATTCTCCGCAAGTGGCATGGGGGTTGGAGATGATGGTGATGATGATGATGTTTGATGATAGCTAAGATTTATGGGGTACTTACAATCTATACTAGATGTTGATCTAGGCACTTTATATACATAACTTACGTAGTACTCATAAAAATGTTGTAAACCAGGTACTTTCATAATCCCCATTTTACAGATAGGTACAGAGATATAGAGTAACATATCCAAGGTCACATCATCAGTTTTGTCTGGAATGATCAGGAAGTAGTCATCATTTAGTTCTCACCAAAAATATATAAGCAGAAATTGTCATTTGTAACTACTAATACCATGGAGACAAATCCGAGGACTTAAAGGCCATCTTGACTAGGAGGACCCTGTTCTAGGTTCCTTCTATCCCTGGTGGAGCTAAATAATCATGATGAAAGCTATTGGCTTAACCACACTTGAAGCCAGAAAGTGTACTGCAGAGAACCACCCACCACCCCCGCCCCCCCCCCCCCCCCCCCCCCCCGCTTATCTGAATTTAGAATAGTTGTGAACCTCTAGGCAACTAAGTTTGGGGGAGCAGAAATGTAAGGACCTGTTTTTTTGAACATTTTAAGATCACCTGTATTCCAGGAAATTCTGGTTGTCCTGGCGCCATATTTCATTCTATGAGGTCTTTCAGTGTGAACTTGTACCTTAATGTCCTTATGCAACAGCAGCAGCAGGCCAGTTAGCGCTTCTGAAAGCTGCCCCTCAAGCCTGATGTGACTGAAGATAGTGGGACATGCAGTGAAGGCACCCTCTAATCATAATGACTGGCTTTGTGTATCCATCTGCCTGTGGAGCCAGACTTGAGTATTCTGACTGGATCTTGTTATGCTGTACTGGGGAACAAGCCGAGGCTTAAATAAAGCACAGAACCCAATCTCTGGTGACCTCTGAGAACTAAGAATCTGTCCCAGTGCCCTGCATCACACAGGTAATGTCCAAGGGCTACCAACCCCACTTTTTATTTTTAGCATTTTTTTTTTTAAAGAAGGCCCGTTTATTTATTTATTTATTTATTTAGACATTTATTTATTTATACAAGCACTGGGTACAGTCAGAAGCGCAGGAGGGTGAGAGAATTCACCAGAGTCAGAGCAGGAAGCAGAGCAGGCAAAAGGACCGAAGTACACTGCTGAGGGGAGCAGTGGGCGGCAGGAGAGGTCTGCACGCCATGTGGGACCCTCCTCCGGTAGCTGGGGAGCAGCCGGGAATCGAACCGGCGCTGCAGAGGCTGCGGGCAGCTTCGCAACCCAGCACTCAACTGCTGTGCCACCGGGGAGGCCCTATTTTTAGCATTTTTTTGTTTAATCTTAACTTTAAAAACAATATTAATTTTTAAATATTTAAAAGGTCAGATTTATTATAAAAAGGGAAGGAAAGGGAAGGATGCTTGCACAGACACAAGTGGGCAGAAAGAGCTGCCCCTGAAAGGGACAGGTTTGTAAAAGAAATGCCTGCGTAGACACAGATAGTCAGTCTTGGGAGGAGAGCTGCCTCTGCTGCTTTGCAAAACGAGAAGGTTGGTGACAAGAAACACCTGCATAGTCACAGGCAGGCAGGAGAGCTGCTCTCAAAAAAAATTTGAAGTAATATTGTTTTATAACATAACAGGTTTCAGATGTGCAGCATTATAAATCAACATCTGCATATACTACACTACGTCTGCCACCAAACACAGTGGTGTACGGTTTCCATCCTCTACCATACAATTGACCCCTTTAAACCTGCTTTACCCACCTCCCTTCTACCTTCCCTACCAACTCCACTTCTGAGTTGTATATTAGGAGAGTGAAGTCTCAGCACTCCCCACCTTACCTGATGTATAAATCAGAAGTTCAGATGTTAAACCTACTGTATTGTACAATGACAGCATTATATTTTTGTGGTCAAAGGATAAGGCCATACCCTCAGAGTAGGATGTAAAGCTTTCCCTAAATCATGAGGGAAAGGTAACGGCCTCATTATCAGTCCTTTGAAATAGGGAATTCTCATGCAGAAAACCTTGGAACATGAACAAGTGGAAGGTGGCAATTCTGAATTTACCTTTTTTAGAGTTTGGACTGAGAAATGAAGGTAAATATTCATGCTTTGTAAGTGTTTATTGATGCACCACTCTACTTGCCCCTGAAGTTTAGTCAAGTTTAATCTAAATCAAGAGTTCAAACTGAAAAATCCTTCAAGTATAGGGAATGTTCACCATCCCAGTATAAGATGATAAAGAGTGATGGTAAGGTGTCCAGTACTGCCAGAAGCACTTCTCTAGACAGCACGGACCATAGTCCAGGTTTCCCTGACATTTCTATATAATATGTAATTCCATGATGCAGAAGAAAAATAACACTTACTCTTAATCAATATAAAGGGGAAAACAACAATAACAAAATTGTGTGGAGTTTAGAAAATGAGGATGGGGGGGCCTCCCTGGTGGTGCAAGGGGTTAAGACGCAACCTATGAAGCTATCTGCAGCCACTGCAGCACAAGTTCGATCCCCGGGCAGGGAGCTACCCACATGGTGCAGCAGACCACTCCTGACTCACCTGCTGCTCCCCTCAGCAGTGTATTTCAATCAGTCTACCTGTTCTGTTCCCACTCTGTCTCTGGTGAATCCTCTTACCCTCCCCACCCCCGCCCCCCTGCACCTCTGGTCTGTACCCCAGTTCTTGTATACATAAATAAATCTTTAAAAGAAAAAAAAAAGAATATGAGGATGGGTAGGCTCCTCTGGAGTGGGTCAAGCAGATTGCAGCAGGGTAGTCTATTTCAGCTTTGTCTCTACAAAAAAAAATGAGAGAAATGGAGGTATTACATTACCTGACTTTATATAGCAACAGTAAAGAACAGTACAGAAACAAATACACATATATCAAAGCTTAATGTATGATAAAGGAGCCATGCCTATACTAGTGGGAAAAGGAGGATGTCTTTCACAATGGTGCTGGGAAAACTGGGCTGCCACATGTAAAATAAATGTTGAGTCACTCTTACTTGGTACAGAAAGATAAATTCCAGATGGAGTAAAGATTTAGCTATAAGGCCTGAGGCAATAAAGTACATAGACTAAGACATTGGCAGTATTTTCAATGATGAGCCTGTTTTTGGAGACTCATTCTCTATGACAAGGGAAATAAAAGCATAAATAAATAACCAGGATTACCATAAATTAAAAAGCCTTTACATACAAAAGATATATGTAAATAGATTGAAAAGACATCCTACTGAATGGGAGAAAATATTTACACATTGCACAACCGAAAAGGGGTTAATATATAAAATATATTAAAAAACCTCTACCTGGGCCTCCCTGGTGGCGCAAGGGTTAAGACACAACCTATGAAGCAATCTGCAGCCATTGGAGCACGAGTTTGATTCCCAGATGGCCAGGGAGCAATCCACGTGGCTCAGCAGACCTCTCCTGACTCACCCTCTGCTCCCCTCAGCAGTCAATCTGCCTGTTCTGTTCCCCACTCTGTCTTTGGTGAATCCTCTCACCCCCCACACCTCTGGCCTGTACCCCAGCTCTTGTATGCATAAATGAATAAATATATCTTTAAAAAAAAAAACCCTTTACCTTCTAACAAAGAACCCAGTTAATAAATGGGCAGCAGATCTGAACAGATATTTCATCAAAGAGATATCCAGAAGGCCAACAGAGACATGGAGTAATGTTCATCATTTTTGGCAAGGGACATGCTGGTTGAAACTACAGATATATCACCTCACACCCATGAGAATGGCACATAGTTAAAAAAAAAAATAACATACCCAACAACAAGTGTTGGAGAGGACGCGGAGAAAGAGGAGCCTTGTTACACTGGTAGGAGTGTAAATTGGTACAACCATTTTGGAAAGTGATCGGATTTACCATAAAAAACTAAAAATGGAAATGCAATATGACCGAGCAATCCCACTCCTGGACATCTATTCAAAGAACACAAGACCAACTAAAAAAATATATCCTCTATTTTGTTTATTGCAACACTATTTACAATAGCTACGACATGGACGCAACCTAAGTGCCCTCTGATTGATGACCAGATCAAGATGTATATCCACACTATGGAATTGTATTCACCC